TGATGCAAACATTTGCAATTCGGCACCTGATAGGTCACATGAGTCACGTGAGATAGCAGCTGTCAGGTAAATGGCAAATCTAATAAATTAATTAACTTATCTGATAACTTATAGGTACATAAATATGTCATGATATTCCTAGAATCAGACCATGGATTAAACCCTATGTCTGTCCTAGAACTATCGACAAGACGTCTAACAACTAAAGGGAATTTACCCAACCAAAGGTTTTGACACTCTGATGTTAGCTTGAGATGGTGTTGGTTCGTTAATTAATAGATTTGCAGGTGTAATCAATTTACAAACATAATTCAGAATACTGAAGTTGTAAATAAAGCTGTTGATGTATAGTTAGCTAGTCATTTACCAGATCCTGATGAACACAATCTTTCGATTAGACTCTGTTCAGAAACTAGTGACCGAGCGAAAGCTATTTAAGAAGATTCATCATATGCTGAATAATACTAATCTAATCTCATTTGACATAGGTTTGTGAAAATAAACTAATTGATTCAAATAATGAATGTAATGCATTTAATGCAAAATCAGGCACTGTACTTTCTATTGCTATTGGTTTTAAACCCTCAGTAGTACTTCTGAATAAATTACATATAGAACTGACATTTATTCTCTAGGTCGTGTTAAGGTTAGGTTAATTTCGTCACCTGATTATGAGTATCGTGTAGATTACTTTAATCATCTAAGTTTGGCCGATTAATAGCATACTAAAGCGTCTAGATTGTACAGGGAAAGAGCTCAGTAAATCAGATTAACAAATTAACTATTCTATCTTGCCAAGGCTGATGACCATCGTCTTGATAATGCCGACTAGTATATAATAAATTTCCAGACAGTTTTGCTTGACTGTGTATATTTCGTTGGCAGGTAGTTGCTAAATAGTACCATGGGCTTACAGAAACACCATTTTGATCGTGAGGCTAATATGACATCCGTGGTGTATTGGTAATAATGTTGTGATAAGACGGATAAGCTCGTTGTATTGATAAGGTCTAAAACTGAGGAGCTGTAAAATTTTAAGCATTAATAAAATCCAAACTACTACGTACTAATGGACTCAGTAGCTGGCTAACTATTCGTCCGTCCATCTGTACTCTGTAGCACTATGATGCTTGAACATTTCATATAGCCGCTTATCCTTTTCGTATGGAGATATTGGACTTAAGTTTCCAAAGGTTCTTTGCCGTGTTATTAGGTGGTGGTAACATCAAGAGTATTTAAATGCTTCACGATGCATTCTTAGACAGCCAAAAAGGGTTAAACCTCGTTGAAAGAATGCGATTCGGATTTGCATGTTTTAGTGCTAGGAGAATACCAGGCTGGTGCCTTATTCATGAGCCCAATAAAAAATGGAAATACTCATACAAGTAGGCAGCCTGCATGAATATCTGATTTGCCTATTCCTTCTACAATTTAGATTTTTCAATAAGTATCAGAGAGGAGTTTTGTGGAGATTGTAGTGATTTCAATAAGTTGTCATTTTTGCTTGTTTTAACACACCAGTTATGTTCATTATTCGCATAACTTATTCGGAAGCGTATATGAAGAACTAACGATCATTCGCTTTACACGGTACAAAAAAGTATAACCAGAAAGAGCGGCGGCTGGCGATTTACATTGAAAAGTGTGAGCTTTAATCAAATTTCGATTCTAGAACTTTTAAGCGGTTGAGATGTAACGTAAATCAGCGTTTCAAGTTTTCAACTGACAGTCGACTGTTTAACCTTAGAATGACGTTCAAAACTCCAGCAGACACAACCATGTTTACGTAACTTTCGTTTTCTCAACCCCAGAACGCACGTTTTCTGTGCTATCTGCTTTCGCGTATGAATTTGTAATAGCTTAAGTTAGGTGGTTGATAGACGAATTCTTTATTTCTGACCGTAGAATAGTTTAATGGTCAGTCGAAAAAACACTTGATAACCGAACAGTGCATGGGAAGGTCACACACTGAGCGATGGAGCGATTCTCCATTAGGCTACAAAAATCGAACCGACATGTTTTGGTTTAACGAATTTATCAAACGGCTTTTCCCATGGGTTGAGTTTCAGAGGAGGCTGATGTAACGGCCTAAGTAGGGTGGTTAAAAGTTAGCGGAGAATCTTTACGTAATTTTAAAACATTATAGCCTAAGTTTTGTATTTGGTACCTTATACTGCATATCCTATATTGGATGTTGAAGGTTTTGTGTGTTTAAATTCGGACCTAGCGCTCCAATTTCTCCGTTCTACTATCTAAATTAAGACACACTACAACCGCTAGTTATGCTTTTCCATATATATAATGATGGGTAACTACCAGAATCAAGAATTTATCGGATTTACTGTTACTCCTATCAATAGTTCAGTTACAGTCATATGTGGTTATTTGCTTCAGGCGATTATAACTATCTTTCATCACTATATCACCGAAATGTAATCGATTTTCCCACTGCTCTGAGCGTGTAAGATCCAAACTACGTTTGGACTGCTGGACAGCTGTCTGGATGAGTTAGATACGCGCCCTCGCCCGATTGAAACCAAAACAAAGTAATTGGGTAAGATGGCGTTTCTATAATTTATCATAAATTTAAGTGTACATTATTACCTAAACAAATATAACCACTCAGCTATCCAACCAATAATTGTTCAATTGATCAAATCTAAATTACAATAAATAAGAAAGTTGATAAAGGATGCAAGAAATTTACCAATCACAACAAATCAACGTTATTCTATCCTGGCTGGATAGATCACACACAACAGGAGGAACAAATCAATATGGCTACCGCCAAGAACAAGTGTCAAGTAAAACAACACAGATGCAGTTCAGGAAGAAACACAAACTTAGTGAATGCGTAAGAAAAACAAAAACTATAATAAAAAATACAAGTATTAACAACTCAAATGTAATCAAAATACGACAATGTACAACTAAGAGGATCAATAGGAACAAAGTGCAAGTAAATACATGGAGGGATTTTCACAAACACACAAAACATTCAAAATGGATCTTACAGAGCGAGCATTTAAAACTAGTTTTCACTATTGAATTGGAATTATGTGTGACTTGTGGACATGCTCTGTTGTTTAGTTCTAATCATTGGGATACTTGCATCCTACATAAACTATGTGGCTAGCTTGGAAAGAGTGCGCTCTTACATCGGACAAATAAACTTAAATACGGGAATACTCAGACGAAAATGTCTTAAATCTGAGAAACATATCTTATATAACAAACTGGGGTTTATTTCTAATCACTCATTGAAAAACCCCATTCATGTTGTCACTTGTTATCTTGAATTTTGTTTTGACGTTTGTCGTTAGACTGAAACTAGTTTTGCAATTCTTGACTGGATTACATCCCTGCAAATAAAGCAATCACGAAGGGAAAAAAGAAGAATGTACGGGGAGAAAAACTCCAATGAGGTTCGAAAGCTGAATGATCTAATAAACCAAAAGATCAGACGTCTGAATTCAACGTTTACTCAGAAACTCATTTCTTGTAAAAACTGCTCAAATATGTGGAAACTATATGGAGGGCTTACAGGCTATTTAAATCAGGAATCTGGAAGAATTGAACACTCCTTGACTCTTGTATCAGTTGATGGCCCTGGTAATATCTGATTAACTTCAGGTCACTAGAGTGCGACAAAACCCGATTTATACTCCTGAAACAATGCGCGGAAGCCACCAGCACACCGCTGTGTGACTCGTTCAAGCACTAACCAGATTCACAGTAACTTCTGAGAGGCTGGGATAGGCTATTCTATCAAATCTTTGAAGAGTGATATAGCAAAGGTTCGGCCTGTTACAGACAAGTAGCGTTACTATTAATAATGTCGAAGGTAATGGGACGACTGTTCAGTTTTAGTAGAGACAGGTCCTGTGCGTCCAGTCTCTTCATAGAATGGGACAGTTGAACAACATGCTGGGATCAGGTGATATCGGTTTATATAATTTACTTTGACATCACAAAAGCCATTGGCATAGAACTAAATGTAATTCTCATAAAGAAAGTTACAGAGATGGTTTATATTGATCCACTTTTATCTTGGTTCCAAAACTGCCTAGGGAACAGATTGTTTTGAACCAAGGTAGATAGAGTGCACACAAGCTGAATGGTTTCAACATCAGGAGTTACACAGGGGACAATATTAAGTTCACTACTGGTCTTGATCTTTATTAACTACCTGTTAAACGAAATCGACTGAGTGGCAGTAATCTACGTGGATGACGTGAAAGTATGGAAGTCTGTATAAAACTAAGAGGATTCATTTGGGCTTCAAAGGGAGCTCACGACTTTGGAAGAATGGGCAGTCAACCGTAGGTTAAAACTTAATCCTTTGGGATATCATTTCATGAACACCCGACCCCATTTGAAATGAAGAACTTACGTACTTCGTGAAAATCAACTCTTCATTGTCTCTTCGGAACACAATCTTGGACTATTAGCCACAGAATGCATGCACTAGGTGAAAATGAAAACGGGATGTTGCTAGGGCAAACTCAACCCACCGCTCTATGCTTACATAACTTGGCGCAACTATCCCAACGTTGTTCCTAGCACTGTTTAAAACGCACACAAGTCCTTACCTTGAAGTCCACAATGTCGCTTCACCTCATCTCTTCAAAAGAGATATAAATCCCTTGAACCAAATATGAAACTGGAGAATCAAATGGGTGACAGGTCTTGAAAATAAATCTCACAAGGACAAACTCCAACACCTGGAATTATTCTCGTTGAGCTACAGTACAATAAGCGGTGATCTGATATTGGAATACAAAATCTTAGGTATGTCAAGCCGCCTCAACACGAGTATATTACCATAACATCATCACCGCCGTCCTTGAGTTAAACCTCGGAGACTACACACCAAAGAGCAAACACCCATATACGCTCTCATTCTTTCTCATTAAGAGTTGTTCACAATCTGACTGCTCTCCCAGTCAAGTGACTACAGCCGCATCAGTGGATATCCTTGAGACGAGATGTGACAAATATATTACACAATTTAACCAACATATTGCACTTAATGCTGAGGATTAACGAGGGCGGGAAATATATATATTGCGGTACATGTCTCGAGCTGATGTTGCTTTGTTTGTTTGACCATCATTTTTAACTATGGTCGTTTCAAACTCAAAAAAGAATATTGAGGGTTGCAAACTACCGGTAAAACTACCGGACTCCGACTTTTTCCGTAACACACTTTTGCGTGTAAATAACATTACTAGATAATGCTGAGGTTTTGGGTACCCGTGATGTAGGTGATTGTACATACTATTACGTTCACTATGATGACTGTAAGCCTTTATAATTTCTTCATTTTCTCTTGCAAGATAATAAACGGCTGGATGAATGGGTTAGTGCAGACCGCCTCGACTTTTCTAAAATAGAACGACCACTAAAGAAGTCGACCAAAGAACCCGTCACACCTGTTTTCAGCTTATCCTCCACTGAAGACGAAGTTATTAGTTCAGCGGAGCTCCGAGCGACAGATTCGGATTTGGTTTGTGCTTTCATCAAAGATTGATCTGCTTTTTAGAACCCTCCTCTGAAATATCGTAGCTCCAGCTCATCTAGTTTGACTCAACTGAAAAGAAAACGACCACCTGACGATATCTATGAAGGACCCATACATTTAACGCTACAGAATGACGTGAATGATCTTGTGTTCGATGACTCTCCAACGTCAGCTGGAAAACCCAGGCAAACAGGCAGTATGGTTTCTAGCCACCATGAACAAGATACTGTTACGAGAATGAGAAATCTGGAATGGATTGAATTAGGAAGATATCGAATTAAACCATGGTACTTTTCCCCATATCCACAGGAATTAGCAAGTGTTCCGTGTGTATATATATGCGAATTCTGTCTGAAGTATTTGAAGAGTTTCACATGTCTGCGCAGACACTTGGTTTGAATTATAATCAGTTTTCCTTACTTTTAGGCTAAATGTACACTAAGAAATCCTCCTGGAAACGAGGTTTACCGCAAACTGCCTCACAGTTTTTTCGAAATCGATGGACGTAAAAATAAAGTGGGTTCACTCAACTGAAATGATTATTTTCAGACTTATGCTCAACACCTTTGTCTACTTGCGAAACTGTTCCTGGATCACAAAACCTTGTATTATGATACAGATCCATTCTTATTCTACGTTCTTTGTGAAATAGACTCTCGTGGTTACCATCTAGTTGGATATTTCTCAAAAGAAAAAGAATCTTCTGAAGATTACAATGTGGCATGCATCTTAGTACTTCCACCTTTTCAACGAAAAGGTTATGGAAAATATTTGATTGAATTTAGTAGGTTCAGCATTTTGTAACTTATACTTTTCGCTTAAAAAGCCTGGAAAGTGAAGAACTAATGTTGATAAACAATGATCATTGTTCAAATTATTGACCAGATATTTAGAAATTAGCATTTTCTGTGGTCAGCAGTAGTTTATATTTTTAATTGAAGTTAAATCTGGGTGACTTATCATTTCGCCTCACTAAACACAAACACTTGTGCCCAGTGTATCCCTAAGTAGCTCAGATTTTAGGGAACTATGAGATACCATAGTTATATGGTATCATCATACCACAGGTCTATCAAAAATCGGTCTCCAGATGTGGCGCGTAATAGCTTAACAAATTGAAATGCGAATGGCACATGGAATTGATTTCTTTTTCTAATCGTTTGTGACATGTATTCATCACATCCTTTAGATAGTTAATTGTAAAACATTGTAAATATGTGTTCATACAGTAAACTATTGAATTACTACTGTTAATTACGACTCAGTTCAGTTTTTACGGATCTAACTGTGAATAAACCATTTTGATAAGTCCTTCTCATCACTCTAGTTTTGCACTCCTCTCCTTTATCTTGTGTCCACATTGCCATGTAGATTTAGTCTGTTATTAGGAGCGGCTAGAAAATGGGGTCAAGCGTTCAGTTGGCAGATTTATCAGTAGCACTGATAAATTTTAGGTGTTACACATACAAAGCTTATTTATTAGGATTTATTTTGCACTTTGTTGATTCAATCAATGTGACTAATACCTTAGCTTTCTACAACTCGTAAGAATGTCTTATGATAAATACACTAGACTCCGTATTTAGTAATTAAACACGTACTCACCATTGTTTGTATTTACTGATGCTCAATATGTTTGACTTCAAAAGTCAGCGTGGTGCTCGATTTAATTACTTCACTTCTCATCATAAAATGAGCATCCTAATGGATCACTTCACTTACCTTCCCTAATTGTCTAAAAGACTGTCTTATCAGTATCCTCGGTCTATAAGATTATGTTTCCTTAATTTGGTTCGGTTGTTTGGATTCCTAGGTAATTTATCAATCTCCAGAGGGCTTTTATTTTTTAATTATTTGAACATTAATACTGGTACAGAAGGGCACCGAATAAATATGCGCCACACAAACCACTCGATTCGTGTGTGGGCTATGATACTACCCGGGCGCCCAATCCGAAGCAGGTGGTTTTCTTAAGGGGTCACACCCGGAGCATTTGACCTAAAGGTCTAATCCACAAGGCAGGGGAACAACGTAAGGAGATGCAGTCCCCACGGTGGTCGGTGAACAACAATAGGTTCGTACGCCATTTGTTCTCTCAGGATCCTGGAGCCTATGTGCACCATTGGTTCGGAATCAGGGTTTTCCAACTCCCCTGGGTGGGCCCTCCATACCCACCAACTCGGTCAGAGCGCCAGACATTATCTTTTTGTCTTCAATTTCATTAACAACACAGTCAGTCAACTACAACGTAGGACCAGGTACATGTGTGCATCGGTCCAAGTTACCATACCTCATTAGCACAACAAGATGAACACAGGATTCATGAAGTAGTTAATTCAATGGTGGTAATATATAAAAGAAAGATTGCATCTGAGGATATAGTACAGGAAGAAATAATTCAGTCAGTCAATCAGTCAGTAACAACGTAGAACTTCGTACGTACGTACGTACATCAGTTCGAGTTGCCACACCACATTAGCACAGAGATGCAGTTGTCGATTCAAATCCCGTAGTGGTAGAGGTAATAAGAGTATAAGCAGTAATCGGGAAGATTAGGGTTTGGAGATGTTATTTGAAGAGTATAATCCAGTGAAATAAATTTGGAAAGAGAAATAATTAGTTCGTAGAAAAATATGAAGCGATCTTAATCTCATAGTTTAAAGGGAGTCAGAGAGTGTATACACCGACGCCGTTGTGATCAATTCCGAGTCATATCACCCAGAGTCTCCAACCATTGGTCACAGTAATCACGCAGACCCCAACCAAGTAGTCTGCATCTACCAACATGGCTCAAACTAGAGGTTAGTGACTTCAATGACTGATGCTACGTTTTAGTTTGGCCGCCCCTAACTTTCTTCCAACCATCCCCTACACTGGTCAGCATTACGCGTCGTCTTAGTGATCTAAGAGCGTGACCGCAGTGCCCAAGGGACAACTGTTTGAGGTCGGTCACACACGACCTTTTTATGAGTAATTTTCGTGTTAGCTCCGTACTTGTTGAAACCTTAGCGTCGGAGACGGATATCCATGGGATAAGGCGAGGTGTGTATTTTAGGGTCGACCTTTTCTAACCCCACCCCTCCTTGTGGAAGGGTGGTATCGCTGTTACTCTGGTTGTCTGAAGAAAACACCTTACTGTCGTTACACCTCTGTACAGTCAGTAGTACGACTTCGTCCTCGGACCTTGGGTTTGTTGCTTTTATTCTTACCGCTCTTCAACTGACCTGTCTGACATGGTAGGACGTTGAGGAACGATTGTTCTAGCCAATATAGCTCTATTGGTTCATCACGATAGACAGAGAGAAGATAGTGAGTAGGACTTCCTTGGCAGTGGCTGTATACGCATGGTCATGTGAGAGCATTTGGAGAGGAAAAGCTGACTCCTCATCCTCGGCCGTACCAGAACATTTGGGGGCTGGATACAAGAATTCATCTTTGTCAACAAGATTTAAGGGTGGAAAGTGCGTGAGTGTATCTGAGATGATGAAATCCATATGTAAAACCATCTTCACACTTCCATATCTACCAAAATTTCACCATACCGGTATAGTGTGAAAAGAACGTCATTGTCTCCGACACTAGGTACTGTACAATATCAATTATTAGATAGTTATTTCATTGTTGAGGAGTTTGGCATACGTGTATCTTCGTCTAGATTTGCACAATCCTCCATACAGTTCAGGTTTGTATGTCTTATGAAGGTGAGGATTATTGTCAGAATTAGGTAAAACCGAGAGGTTTTCACTACTTGGTTCGGTGCATAGTCACTAGTCCGTATAATCCGAACACACCAGTGCTTAAATTTAAAATATTGAAGTAGTTTATAACCGTATATGTAATCTATCTTCAGACCATGTTATCCAATGGCGTATCAAGGCTTACCTCTCAGTAATACAGATGAGATCATAATTTATGGACGACCTTGATGCGATGCTAAAGTAACTTTGAGAATATTCAGCTTCTTACTAGAGTTAATAAAGGGTTGCAAATTAGTGCGTGTAACTAGCATTAGAATTTAAAGTTAAACGTTAGGGTTAGTAATTAGAGTTAGTGTTTTCACCGTAAATGACATCAGTTCTAATGCCAAAGTGCTACTTTACCATACGGATGAATAGATTTTGCGCCAAAATCCAAGAACCGCTATCTTAAATCTCACTGGTTTGTTCAGAATTTAGTCTTACGTGTGTCTTTTTCATGCCCCACCTCAAAGATTACATACGGCAACCAAATATTAGCAGGAAAAGGCTTATACAATATACTAGCCTTTCAATATATATATATATATATATATATATATATATATATATATCGATCACAATGGCGTCGGTGTATACACTCCCTGTCTTCCCTTAAACTAAGAGATTAAAATCGCTTCATACCTTTCTTTCTACGAACCAATTTTTTCTTGTATTATATCTCTATATGCAATCTTTCTCTTATATATTACCACCTTTGACATAACCACTGCTATGAATCCGGTGTTCATCTTGTTGTGCTGATGCGGTATGGGAACCTGGACTGATGCATATATGTGCCTGGTCCTACGTATATATATATATATATATATATATATATATATATATATACTCAGGTACCTGGTGAATGAGTCACGTATATATTTCAATCGTCAGTATACACCTAGTCATCATCTCGTTTGATGTGGTATTTGGATTTCTAAGTGTGTTAAAGATTGTTGTATACATTATGCATTAGAACTTTCTAAACTTGGTTTGACTAAGATGCAGTAGTAGAGATCATGCTTCAGTCCCTAATAAGGTGTTATTTTTGTCTCAGCTTGTATACGTTTATATACCATCTAGTCAAACAGGTGGTTTCGTTATGGGAGGAGTCTGTTTATCACGTCTGAAGTTTTATTATTCAACACTGATCAAACTACTTTTATCTTCACAACATTTCAGTGCTGGTCTAGCTGGCGTTATCGTACTGAAGTAAAGTGATGCATTTTATATGTCTTGTGTTTCTTTTTCAACAGTTATTACCCCGTTGGTTTGAACACTACTTTCGAACAGATTTTTCTCATTGTTCAGTAAATGAGGCAAAAAAACTAATTATGATCCCTAGGTTTTAATCTAGTCATCATGGTAATTTATGGTGATGTTGGTACATTGATGTTGAAGTGATCGTACTTAGACGATTCACTTTCATGGGTAGACCATTTGTTTAACATCTGTTAAAGTTGTAGTTGTAGTTACAGGATTCCTTTATTTTCTTCAACAACTAATTAACCGAATATTTTGTGTTAATACTTTTCTTATTCAGGCTATGAATTGAGCAAAATTGAAGGTAAATCCGGATCACCTGAAAAGCCGCTAAGTGATTTGGGTCTATTATCTTATCGCTCTTATTGGGCTCAAACAATTCTTGAATTGTTACTAAACTCTAAAGCAACAGAAACTGGTCAGGATCCAGCATTAAGTATAAAGTAATTAAACTCATTAATTGTATCTATGTATCTTTTCGCAAGTTGAATCCTTCTATAGGAAATTAATTCTATGACTTAAGTATAGTATAACTTGATGTTTTACACTAGTTGTCCATAGTTCGTTTAAGGAAATCTCTCATCTCTGCTTTACTTTTCCACTGCTAACTAGCAACTTCCAATGTATTCGAAAATTCGTCTTTATCAATAATTCTCTCATGGGATTTCCGAATTTCGTGGGAGACCATGGGTTGAATGAGATGTGTTGATTTCTCTTACATCAGCCATTTCTTTTGTGTAAATGTGTGTTCGACCACCCCACCTTTATTTTCAATGCTTGTGGGTTTGATTTCAAATAACAGGACACCGATAAAATATAACTACTCTTATCACTAAAATCAAAATACTCAAGGCCTTTTTTACTTACCTACTTACGCCTGTTACCTTTTGTGGAGAAACATAGGCCACCTGCTAGCACTTCATCCAGCCCTGTCCTGGGCAATCCTCTCCCGTTGCTATTCATCCTTTTCATGTCTGCTTCCAATTGACGACGTAGTGTGCTCTTTGGCATTGCTCTTTCCATCTCCGCAGGATTCCAAGTTGGCACTTGCTTCGTGATGCAGTTTGATGATTTCTGTAATGTATATCCTATCCACTTCCGACGTCTTTTCCTAATTTCCTTTTCAACAGGAGTTGGTTTGTTCTCTTCCACAGTAGGCTGTTGCTGATGGTATCCGATCAACGGACATTGAGTATCTTGTGTAGACAACTGCTTATAAGTACTTGTAGCTTCTTGATGATGGTTGTAGTAGTTCTCCGAGTTTCAGCTCCATACAGTAGAACTGTCTTGACGTTAGAATTGAAGATTCTGACTTTACTACTGGTTGACAGTTGTTTTGAGTTCCATATGTTCTTCAATTGTAGGAATGCTACCATTACCTTGCCAATCCTTGACTTTATGTTTGCAACAGGTCCTCCTTTTCATCGATGACGCTTCCCTTGTACGCGAAAGATTCCACATCTTCCAGAGCTTCTCCATCAAGTGTGATTGGGTTGGTGTTAACCGTGTTGTGCTTGAGGATCTTGGCTTTACCTTTGTGTATATTGAGACCTACTACTGCAGAGGTTGCTGCCACACTGGCTATCTTCACTTGCATTTGTTCATGTGTATGCTATAGAAGGGCCAGGTCATTTGCGAAGTCTAAATCTTCTAACTGATTCCAAGCTGTCCATTGTACTTTATGCTTTACCTTAGAGGTCGAGGTCTTCATAATCCACTCGACCACCAGAAGAAAGAGGAAGGGGGAGAGTCTTGCCTGACTCCGGTCCTTACCTGGAATGCATCTGTCAGTTGTCTTCCATGCACAACTTTGCATTGTAGTCCGTTGTATGATTGCCGGATAAGGCGGACGATCTTCTCAGGTACACCATAGTATCGAAGAAGTTTCCATAATGTTCTCCCATCCAGGTCCTTTCCTGGTCGCTTCGCTATGATCGATTGCAGCCTCTTGTAGAACAGATCTTTATCGTCATCATTGCTATCATTGGTGGGTGCACAACATTGGATAACATTCACTGTAATTTCCTCCTTCTTTGTTTTGAAGGATGATTTGATGATTCTGGATCCGCGAGATCTCCATCCTGTAAGTGCATTACGTGCTTCTTTGGACAGCATCAGAGCAACTCCCTAAATATGTGGAGCATTTCCCTCTTCGTGATCGGAGTATAACAGCATCTCTCCCGTATCTAACCTTTGCTGTACAGCTTGGGTCCAATGGGTTTCTCTGATTCCGAGGATCGTCAGGTTGTATCTCCTCATTTCCGTTGCTATTTGACTGGTCTTCCCGGTCTCCCACATTGTCCGAACATTCTCTATACCTATAAAAGTAGTTGCTCTGGTTGTTAGAAGAGGCTTCGGCCTGGTGACTTCCGAATAATCTTGGCTTTCATCATGAGGCGCCATAATTTTTCCTTCAAATCGGAGGGCAGAGTTTAAACGGTTTAAATTGTTTATTCTGGCTGACGATTTTGCAGCAATATTTTTTTCTATGGGATGGGGTTGCCGACTCCATACCCAAACGTCTTCCTTTACCTGGGCTTGAGACCGGCAGTAACTCTAGAAGTGCTACAGGTGGTTTAGACAAACAAGTAGCCTTCACACTTATTGTTGCTGTACATAGTTTATCCAACCAGAACTGGTATCCTGACATGACCCTATCGAACTACATTGCAACGTGTGTTTATTTATTCAACCTCATGGATGTCGTCTCTTGCAGATGTAGATAGTTGACGGTCAGTACTTTAATTGGAACCTAAATTCATAGTCCCTTGTATCCTGTTTAGCTAGATCTTGAGACCCAGCATTTTCTCAAACATGCCGCTCTATGTCGTTTTTTCGAACCATGTTTCCAATGTCAATCATTCTCACTATCATTCCTGCTACAATTATATTCAATTCCTTTGGTATCCATTATGTTAACTTTCTTTTGTCGCGCTGATATGGTTTGGTAAATTAAGCTAAGGTACATTTGTCGGGCTTTATGCTAATTACCATTGACTAACCATTAACTTCAAACATTAAGAGACATTAAGTAATTTATATCTGTTGACATTAACACAACTATAGACACAAATAGATCTTACGGTTACTATTCGTTATTGGTGAAAATGATTGGGAGATATCCTCTTTTCAGTGAAAGTTCTTGGAATTCAATCACACCAGTTCATGTTCGTTTATGTAGTTAAGCATAAATGGATGTTAAAATTAGGCACATACCAATTCATGCTTAATTTCTTTGATAAGGATATGAAGCTTCTGTTCGATGAACGATTATTTAAAGAGTGATGAAATGTAGTAATAACCTTTGCCCCAATTTTCTGTGATGTATCATGCAGCCTGGTATGTGAAGACCAGAGAAGACAATTTACAACTTGCAACTGAAGGTCATTACTAACAGTCTAAATATCTGTAACCTCATTTAGACTAATTTATGCTTCAAGATTCATTCAAAGTGGCTTTACTGTAAGATCAAGTGTAGAAAAAACGACTTGAAGTGATGTTGAGTAAACGTTGTTATAGGATGAAGTAACTTTGTTAGTTACCATTTAGATTAACGGCACTAACTCCTGAGGTGATGGAATATTGACGTTAACCCTACTGAAAACTACTTATTGACTAGTGTGACCAAAAGGATGAATATATATGAAGTAGGGTCTGAGGCAAGTGTTGCCACACTTCTGAAGTATCGTAGAAACAAGGTGTGTCAAAAATAAGATAGTGAGATTGAGAAATGGGAATTGTGTTGTAATACTGTTTCCACGACCTCGAAGATGAAAAGACCATACACCTATACCATTGAATCGATTTTAGATCAGTTCAATTAATCTCGAACTTTTTTAACGGTTATCTACGGTTATCCACAACCTGTTTCTGGCTAGCACTAACTTTCGGCACAGTCATCGCCGATGTGCCACCTGGCGTCCTCCCTCTGCATCTCAAGCCTGGACTCAGATTGATCACATCGCGATCAGCTACCGCTGGCGTGGTTGTGTACAAGACTGCCGCTCCTTTTGGAGTACCTATCTGGACTCTGACCATGCCTTGGTCTGCGCCAATCTTGCCTTACTTTTCAGTGGACAACGAAGTGAACGCCATCAACGGATTGATGTTAGCAAGCTGGTTGCAACTTCTGTTGCAAGTAAGTATCGAACCGAGCTAGCCTCTAGGCTAGCTACCACTCCACCGAAAAGTATAGATGAGCATTGGTTGCAATTGCATGACGCCATGAAAATGGCGGGAACAGTCAGTTGTGGGTTTGCGAAACGTCCCGCTTTTAAGCACTGGGTTTCTTCTGGTTCCTTACAACTCATTGAAGCCCGTCGGTCTACTCCGGGTAACCGTGAGTTTGACCATAAACGAAGGATTTTACGTAAGGAAATCGGGCAAAGCTTGCGTAAGGACCGAGAAGCCTGGTGGTCGATGCGTGCTAATGAGCTGGAAGCAGCAGCTGCATCTGGTAACTGCCGGAAGCTCTTCCAGCTCATCCGAGCCACTGGCAGCAAGAAGTCTGGTGTGAGTGAAACAATCTGCGAGGATGATGGGATGCCAATCACTAACATCCATCGACGTCTTGGACGATGGGCAGAATTTTTCGAAGGGCAGTTCAACTGGCCTGCTGCTCCGGCAACATCGGTCAGACTGTCCTGCCCTCCATGGCCGGTGACGACTGATCCACCAAATGAGGAGGAAGTCCGCAAGGAACTCCAACTCTTGAAGCGTTACAAATCACCTGGCCCAGATGACTTACCTCCGGCTCTTTTTAAAGATGGTGGTGACTTTTTGACTAAGGAATTGACGACGTTGTTTACAAAGGTTTGGGAACTAGAGAGTGTACCAACGTCATGGAATGAGTCGATAGTTGTCCCTATCTTTAAAAAGGGTTCACGTCGTTCTTGTAACAACTATCGGGGGATAAGTTTACTTCCGATTGCGTCCAAGCTATTGGCTTCCGTCATTCTTCGTAGGTTGTTCAAAACCCGAGAAAGATTGACTCGCGAGGAGCAGGCTGGGTTTCGTTCTGGTCGAGGATGTATTGATCATATCTTCACCCTCCGCCAAATGTTAGAACACCGCCATACTTTTCAAAGGCCAACAATCGTAGTGTTTCTTGACATCAGGGCTGCCTTCGATTCGTTGGATAGGACTGTTCTCTGGGATTGTCTATTGAAGAAGGGTGTGCCTGAGAAGTTTATTAACATCCTAAAAGCCCTATATAAAAACACCTCAGGCAGAGTGAGGGCATACAACCACCTCTCTCCATTGTTCCATTCGAGCAGTGGGGTTAGGCAGGGTTGCCCAATCTCACCATTCCTCTTCAACTTTGCCATCGATGACATTCTGGAAACAGCTCTGATGAATGTAAGTAATGGTGGTGTGGATCTGTTGCCTGGAGAAAGACTTCTCGACCTTGAGTATGCGGACGATATTGTCTTACTGTGCGATAATGCCCAAGGCATGCAATCCGCACTTAATCAGTTGGCAATCAGTGTCCGTAGGTATGGTATGTGCTTTGCACCTTCGAAGTGCAAAGTACTTCTACAAGACTGGCAGGATTCTAATCCTGTACTCACCCTGGATGGTGAGCAGATAGAAGTAGTTGAGAAGTTCGTGTATCTGGGTAGCTGCATAAGTGCTGGTGGGGGTGTGAGTGATGAGATCAATGCACGTATAGTGAAAGCCAGAGCGGCTTATGCCAATCTGGGCCACCTTTGGCGCCTTCGTGATGTTAGTCTGGCTGTAAAAGGCCGGATCTACAACGCGTCGGTGAGAGCAGTTTTGCTCTATGCTTGTGAAACCTGGCCTCTCCGAGTTGAGGACGTTAGACGACTCTCTGTGTTCGATCATCGCTGTCTCCGAAGGATTGCTGACATTCAGTGGCAACACCATGTCAGTAATGCAGAGGTTCGGCATCGTGTGTTCGGGCACAGAGATGATAACTCAATTGGTGTCACCATCTTGAAACACCGACTTCGGTGGCTTGGACATGTTCTCCGAATGTCGTCCCAGAGAATTCCACGTCGTGCATTATTTGCCGACTCTGGGACTGGTTGGAAGAAGCGGAGAGGTGGTCAGTGCATGACATGGTGTCGTGGCATGAAAGAAAGCTGCAAAGGACTGGCTTGTGTTGGTCCTTCACGACTCCCTGGCTGGGGTCCGAGAGATGGTGCTACACAGTGGCTAGAGACGTTATCAGATATGGCTCAGAATAGAAGCCAGTGGCGATCCTGCTGTAACCTTCTTTTACTTTCTTCATAAAAAGTGGTTGTGTCTCCTTTACCTGAAAGATTTCTTCTGATTGTACCTCTTCGTCATTACTCTCTTTTTCTTTTGCGTTCCTTAGTTTTTTTTTTTTTTTCTCTTCGAATTCCCATTGTTTTGTGTGGCGCATATATATTGGCGCTCTCTTGTACCAATATTTATGTGTTCAAATAATAAAAAATAATAATAATAATAATCTCGAACTTTTTTAACGGTTATCTACTCAAACCTCAACTTGGAAACCTATCTAGCTCAAACAAAACGTCTATGGCTTTACGAACTAGTAGTGTTTTTTGGTTTGACTACATTTGTGACCTATTCATATTCTAGCACAATTTACCATCTTTAAGTTACTTCCGACAACATTACCCACTTGATGGTTTTGTCTTTTAAAAGAAATGCTTCGCATACATGCTTGATCGAATAATTGTCAACTACCCATGTCATCCGTATATTTTTTCAAAACTGAAATTAAATCTTATCAGATTAATGGCTAACGTTTTCACTTACTCCAAAGCAATCTGACCTTTTGCCTGTTTCACAAACAACGTAAATTGGAAAAATCTAGATAATCTTTTTGTTCCCAACCTCAGTCGTAGATTTACATCGCGAAGTTGTTGATTTAACCAAGTGTTTCTCATTTGGTAGATGAGAAGCACATCCAAAAGGTTTTTTGATTGTTACTCATACTCAGGATAGTGCACTGTTCTAACATCTTAATTAAACAGGATTATAGTACCTGGATACTTCAAGTGAGTTAAAGTATCGTCAAACAAGAAATAAAATGAGTGTTAACTCGAGTAGTATATTCATTATAAATTTGTTGAAAGTGCTTAACTCTGGTAACTTCCACTTAAAGTAACTAATTCAAATAAATTTTAACCATGATTCCTAACCACGGTCATTAATATTCAAATAATAAGCTTTCAATAGGGTAATTTAAATTTTTGTTACTTCTCCCAGTTTTGTCTATTTATTTAAACATAAACATTGGTACAATGGGTTAGCAAAATATATATGCGCCTCACAAACATTTTGTGAGGACTGGGGTACCTCCCGGTTGCCCAAACCGAAGCAGATGGTTTTTTCAGGGGGCCACTCCACGAGCCTTTAACTTAAAGGTCTGATCTACAAGACAGTGGATTAACGAAAGAAGATGCGGTCTTAGGGTAGCCAGTTACCAAAAATAGTTTCACAAACCATTTGTTCCCTAAAGATCCTGGATCCCATGTGCCCTGTTGGTCCGAAATTAGTTTTTCAAATCCTCTAGGTGGATACTCCGTACCCACGGACACGATTAAAGCGCCAAACATTCTCTTTTCGTAAACAACCCCTCCGCGAGAAGGTAGTGAATAAGACTTCCTTGATAATGACTATACACCTAGCCATATGTAAGCATTTAAAGAGGGAGAGCAGACTTTCCCTACCCTTGGTCTCTTGGCTACGGGACTGTATGTAACCTTTAGGTCAGGTAATGCTGTAATGAACGAGAATATAGACGGAGACAATCAATGTATTTTGGTACAAAATTACAGAGTTCTTTTGTCAAATGTGAAAACCATACATCCAATACTTCATTTGAGGAATTCCCATCAATTGTCTCAAACTTCACCGTTTTCTTATTACCATAACTATTACTCTCTGTTCTCGTTCTCTTCGATTCGATCTTCTCAACCTTCTGCTACCAGGCCTTCCACTTTTGCTTGGTGTTATATACTACTTATGTCGACGGACATAAGTAGCATACACCACAATACACTTACAATGGAATATTCATAAAGTTAACTATAATTCATAGTTTGAAGAAGATTAAAAATCTTCTATTTCAGTTTAATCGAAATGAATTACTATCAGATACTAATATTGACAATTACATTTATTAAAATGAGAATTCAATACTTCTACTAAAGTGAAAAGATCTTGTATTGTTTCAAATATTAAATAAGCGATGGTTTACCTGAACGTCCGGGTCGTAATTTTTTTAAATGTTCAGTTATTGATGTAAAATTTTCTTGTTTTAGTTGAGAGGTCAAATTAAGACGTGAAATTATTGACAACTAAATTAAATCATGTTAGCAGGTATATATGACCTACCACCTGATTGAGGCCCCTGTGATTATTGTGACAAATGGTTACAGAATTTGTGTGATATGGTTCAGTTGCATTTACTCTTTGTTTTTTTCTGGAATCTGGGTCCAGAAATCGCCATATACCTTGATTTTTCTTCTTCTAAGCCTAATCTTCCCTACTACTACTAATGTTGTTATTACTTCTACTACTCTGGGATTTGACTTGAAATGATCTTATCTCACTATGCTAATTGGCTATGGCAACTTAGAGCGATGTACATATGTGTCGGGCTGTACTTTGCATATTTTCTTTTTCCCCCTTAACCTTAAAGGTGATTACCATAGAATTCATATATCAAATATATTCAATGATGAGAAGAAATGTCATGAAAGTAATATTTTCATATAATTGCAAATCAGTCGGAGTGCTGTTAGAGGTATGAGTGCGGTTATCGTTTCCTGGTTACCCACATTGTGGAAGGGTTCTTCTAGAAGTACCTGAAAAGGAAATTGGGTTAGAGGTGCTCTTAGTGACCCGAGAGCATGACCGCAGTGCCCAAGGGACAACTGCTTGAGGTCGGTCACACACGACCTTTTTATGAGTAATTTTCGTGTTAGCTCCGTACTTGTTGAAACCTTAGCGCCGGAGACGGATATCTGTGGGATAAGGTGAGGTGTGCATTTTAGAGTCGACCTTTTCTAACCCCACCCCTCCTTGTGGAAAGGTAGTATCGCTGTTATTCTGGTTGTCTGAAGAAAACACCTTACTGTCGTTACACCTCTGTACAGTCAGTAGTACGACTTCGTTCTCGGACCTTGGGCTTGTTGCTTTTATTCTTACCGCTCTTCAACCGACCTGTCTGACATGGTAGGACGTTGAGGAACGATTGTTCTAGCCAATATAGCTCTATTGGTTCATCATGATAGGCAAGCACGATCACCACGTCAAGGTTGCAGCAACGGTCAGGTATCTATAATTGCAAATAACAGTTACGCATCGTTCAAACTTTTCTCATACATGTGTTTTTCAGTATTCACAAGTTAATTACTTAGAAAATGGGGATTTCGTTGTGATATTGAATATTTTGTACTGAGAAGTGTACAATGTTTGATAAAGTAAATATTATGATCGTTATAAATCATTACTATATTAAAAGTATATAAAAACTTAAACTGTATAACATGTTTATCATTAGTATTCATGCATAGTAATAAGAAAGTGTCAAAACAACATGTCTGATAGTGCTTCTTTTTTTTCTTCTCTCTCTCTCTCTCTTCGAATTCTATACTGATTTTAGTGATATTGTTGATAGAACATGTATTAAACGAGATGATGTAATTGCTACCTTATCTCATTTAAATGTATTATACTATGTGAAAGGACAACATGTTATCTATTTATCACGTGATCTTATACAAGCACATCAAAAAGCTATGCAACGTCGTAATTTACGTGTTGATGCAAAATTACTTAATTGGAAATCAAGAGATTGGAGTAAACGTGGTCGATGGTGAGGTGGGTTTTTTTTCCCACTGGAGGAAGTGAAGGTTGGCGGAGCACTACATTCACAGGGAAAATGTGTTATATATATATATAAATATATATTCCTGTGTGTATTTATAACGTTTTCCCTTCGTATCAGTTTGTTATCAATAATCATCAATGAATAGTTAGCTTTCATCAATGTAATATAAATTAGATGAAAAATACAATAATTACTATGTATTACTAATTATTGGTTAAATGTAGTGTGATACACTATTTAAAGTAGTTCAGATCATGCTTTGAAATGTGAATTGTTTAATAAATTACTTCTAGTTGTATTTATGTTTATGTAGATGTGAAACAGGTTTTGTGTTATTTAATTTAATAAAGAAATGTAATAATAATAATAATAATAATAATAATCAGTAAATGGTTCTATTCTTGGACTCGTCAGCTGGATTTACATACATCTCAGAGTTGATGTTCATTCTGGGACTCGAACTCAATATCGTTCGCTTTAAACGTCATCACGTTATCCACTTACCTGTTGAGTCTTGATAGTCACTTGCTTATGCAATGAGGTGACGAGTCCCAAATAGGGTGAAACGCGCGTCAAACTGGACTTCAATGCTAGTCAAGATTAATTCAAATGTGAGTTCTACGTCTAATGTCTCTGGAATAGTTGTGATTGTATATTGTCAAGTGCATTATTTAAATACTGTTTCTGATGTTAACTTGATCAGTGTGCTAATTATTTCTCTGAAATCATTCTTTTACCTGATTTATCCTATTGGCAAGAACTACTGTTTGTTCAACTGAGATAGTGTTCATTTATCAACATGATATTTTTTTAAAAGATAGTCATGATCGGTTACTGACCGTTTAACTATTAGTTATTCATGCAGAAAGTAAAAGCTATATATGAAAGCTTTTCGAATAGAATAATGAAAAGTACCAATATAGGAGTTTTGGAGATTATTAAACTGTGAGGACAGTTCACGGGTGAACTCGAGGAAGCCCTAAGAAACTCAGAAAGATCTGAAGATATTCGATCCAACCGTCTTTTGGAAGAATACTCCAGAATCCCTACGTGGAGCTTCCCTGTTGGAGGACTATAATGATTTCGTTTTTACTAAAAACTATAAATACCTGACTGTTTTGTAACATAATTGAAACTTTGCGATAGCATACCTTTCACTTGTCTTCTCATTTGCGACTTGGGAGGGTTCTAGCGTTCGAGTGCTCAAGTTATATATACATAATATATTAAGGACCTAAAGCTCTAGATATGACATGAGCATTATAGACATTACAAGCTGACCTAGGATATCAATTGGGGATCACGAAAAACTAGACAATTGTTTCGTTCTAGGATGGAAGATGGTCACACAATGTCTCAAACTAATTAGATTTAGACCTACAAACGACTGGATGCCATCTTAGTAGCTTGGAAGCCAAGTGTTCGCGCGTGAAACTGAAGGTCCTGTGGTCGACCCCCAGTAGAGACGTTGTGGGCACGCACTGCAAAGAAGTCCCGTACTAAGACGAAACGGTCTTCCAGGATCTCAATAGTTGTTTAAATTTGGTCGGTTCGTAATATCAATGGTGTATGAAGAAATGTTCCAGGAACTATTTTACATATATATTTTTGTATAGTTAATGAACTGTCAGGTAGTTGTGAACATCGACAAACATAGCACAAATATGAATTGGTCGTAGCTATCACAATAAAGCAACGAAAGGAAATCAATATAAGGGTTTCACTAATTGACGATATGTTTTCATCTAGTCTTCTGTAGATATATGAGTTGAACGGATAGTGATCGTGATTGCTGTTGTTACATTTAACGTTATTCTTTATATGCGCTTCTCTTATAAATATTGTACAAATCCTCTTAAAAGATGTCTAACATTACGTATTACAGAGAAATGGTGTTGATTAAATCTGATTTCTAAAAAATGACGTGTCACCGTTACAAGGCTTGTACTGATTGTTTATTTGAAACGTATGAATAATAAGTTAATACTAACATTTCCGAGTTCTGTTGTGATGGTAACTAATTTTGAATTGATAGAAAATACCACTTGTTCATTAAGTATAAAGTTGTGCAATCTGTTTTGAGTCGTCACTGTTTATTGATATTATAGGCCGTCGAAGCCGGTGTAGATGAATTAGTGCGTTTTGAAACTGAGACCTCTGTTGATTGAAAGATGAATTTCCTGTCTATTCAGCCATCGGTTCACTAAATCCTAGTTTATAACATATTGTCTTGCAAAAATATTCAAGATTAAAATATAGAAATGTATAACGAATATTTTGATAGTTGAATAATTACGGTGGATGTAATGGGGAGAGACTATGTGATTGTATAGCAATACAGAAGATTATCAATGATATTTAAAATAGAGTTTATTATCAAAATGAATTCATAAAGGGGCACCGAATACATATGAGCCACACGAACCACTCGATTTGTGTGTGGGCTATCATACTGCTCGGGTGCTCAAACCGAAGTAGGTGGTTTTCTTAGGGAGGCACATTCGGAGCCTACGGCCTAAAGGTCTAATCCACAAGGCAGTGGAGCAACGTGAGGAGGTGCAGTCTCATGGTAGTCGGTGATCAACGATTGGTTCATACTAAATTTGTTCCTTCAGGATCATGGAGCCTATATGCACCTTTGGTTAGGAATCAGAGTTTTCCAACTCCCCTAGGTAGATCGTCTATATCCACCAACTCGCTTGAAGCGTCGGGAATTCGCTTTTCGTCCTCTCAATTTCGTAAACAACACCGTCAATAGAAGGCAACGAGTAGGACTTCTCCGGCAGAGGCTGTATACGCGTGGCCATGTGAAAGCATTTGGAAAGGGAGAGCGGACTCTCCCCACTCTCGGCCGTACCAGGGCATTTGTGAACTAATCGATAAAGAAAATCTATTCTTTCATGCACATCTTGTGACATAGAAATTCATCATTTATATGACTAACTGAAGAGTGTATAGGTAGTCGTCTTACAAGGTACAGCTATAACCAATGCATCGTCTTTCGTAGGTGCCATTTCATTGACCATACAACCAGTGTTCCCTCTAGTAATGATATGACAATATGGTTATGATTAGAGAATCACCTTCAGGCTTATAAGATCTTTAAAAGTCAAATGATTTTAAATCAAATGTATGAGATTTTAACATCGACGAACCAAGCATGAACATTAATAAGTTTATTCGTAATGTAATAATCGGATACAATTTCACTTTTAGAGTTGCTCCAGGCTGCCAATATAGCATAGGTTCATCATTTAGTGACTAAAATGTTAATTCAGTTGAGTGGTTAGTACGCACAAAATGAATATTATAAATTCGTCTTACATAATACAGGAATCATGCGAACACATACTAGTGTATAGGTGTGTAGTTTAGTTATTATGTAACCAATCCAGACTGAGTTGTATTGATGATATACGAATCAACAGTAACTATGATTACTGTCCTCGAGACGTTATCAGAAGACAATATCTACCCTGTGACTTCAAAGTATTCGTTATTTAGAAGAAAAAATATCAGTCTTTATATTCGTTTTCCAACCATACAAAATTACAATGTGAATTGATTTATTGCTTTATACTGATTGGTTCAATAACAGAATAGGTCACTCAGTAAGGTTATTTCGATCATATTGTAGCATGAATGAAAATGTAGAGTAGAAAAATTGGTAAAAACATATTGTGTGGACAAGGTAGTTGGAATCAAGAGTGTGATATTTAGGTTTATGTTCTAAACTCAAATATAATGTGCTAGCAGTAAAATTACCTTTGTATACTGCTCAAAACGGGGGGGGGACAAAGTCTGATTTGCACTTCCGCGTTGTGATACCTAGATAGTGGGTGATGTTTTCCCCATGAACTAACGCGAGCGGTACAGCGGAGACCGGAATAATTAACCACTTTGAAGTCAGATGAAAATTGGGATAATCATCCAATCTATCTTAACCTTGATTACATGAGAAGAGAGGTCGACTTGAATTTGGAGTACGACTGAGGCATTGGAGAAAATTTTCCTTTCGGTGTCTGAAAAAACAATTCTGGAATGGCCCATAAGGTCTGTTAGGGACAGGTGAAAGCGTGGATTGTAAGCTGTGCTGTAAGTAGTGTACAGTGGGTGATATTAAATCGCCTTGTGGTAAGAGCACGAAGTGAGCACATCGTCTATGATGACTTACTTACATACTGGTTTCAATACTCGATGTTCATCCAGTGAAAACTCTTCTGAACTTGGGGGCCCGGGCGTTCGCATCTATACCTATGTGTTTACTGTGGAGTGTATGAGCCTTGGTTTATTCTATATATGCATGTATCGTATACTTGCGAGGGGGAAATTCCATGTCTATATGTATTCGTAGGAGGTGTACACATGCCTACGCTTCCTGTAATCACAAGTACAGCATATTATCAACCGCGCCCATCTAAGTCAATATGTATATCACTAGGATGTTTGTATCTTTAATAACTGCATTCGAATATATGCATATGGAGTATACAAAGTTTCCACGTCTCAACTGGCGGACACAATAGTAGATCATCAGCGCGTTTGGTTTGCATAGAAGCTCACAAAAGTGATAGGAAAAGAGTAATGTGGGTCAATAAGAATATATCTTCACTACATAATGTGGGCCAATTTAATTGCCCATACTACTGATATCATAAACCCTGTATAGACATAATCTCCAGTGTCCAGCCTCACTGCCTTTTCAATGCTCTTCTCTACCGGAAGAGCCATAGGGCCTAACTGAACTGAAATGAACTGATCAAAACACTTAAAACTATAACAGAAAATTGTTTTTCATAACCATACAGTAAGAATGAGCGTTAAACGTATTGCGATGAACGAGAACACAAGTGAGGACGATCGAATGTAATTGAACACAAAATTACAGAATCTCCTAGTAAAATCTGAGAACCATACGGTAAATAATTCATTTTACAAAATGTCAATCAATCGTCTCAAAATTAATTGTTCTTTCTTCTCCACACCAATCATTCCCTGTTCTCGTTCTCTTTTCTTCGATCTTCTTCCACCAGGCATTACACTTTCGATTGATGATATATTCTACTCATATCTGTCGACATCAGTAGCACGCACCACATTATCAAATGCTTAATTTTATCTCTTCAGATTATATATGTCAGGCGAATCGACTTTACCTCTAGATCTTATCTAGTTTTTTACTGAGCACAGGTAATAACAAGGGTCGTACAGTGAAGGTACCACCCTATTCCGGATGAAACGGAGTGGACGTATCATTAATAAAAGAATATATTCTTTTTATTGAATAATTTAATAGTATGACAAAGATGTTTCCATTCCAATATTCTTAGGGAATTCAATACCTAATTGTCCAGCATAAGCAACATGCATGTATTAATT